GTCGCGACGGCATCCTTCAGGAGGGGACACAAACACACAGACACAATTCATCGTCGATTCCCCGGAAAAAAGGGGCAAATATGGGAAGTGGGGGGAAGACAAAAACCTCGAACATATAGGAAAATATGGGGAATCATTTTATTTGTGTGTATTTATTTGTGTGTTTGTGGGCTCCTTCAATTCTTCCGCCCCCCCACCTCCCACCTCCTGCCTCCCCCCTGCCCTCGCCTCCTCGTCGTCATCGTCGCCTTCGTCGCTGCCGCCAGCGCCGTGGTGGAGGTCGTGAGAACGGCGGGGGCGGCGAAAAACATCCAGTGGCCATCGTGCCTGGGTCGGAAGTCAGAGGCCGGTTGGATGCCCGTGGAGATCTCTCGGAAGGCCGGAAGCCTCTTGGAGGCGGTTTTGGGGAGTCTCGGGTCCTCCCGGGGGCCCCTTCTTCGGGCCTCTTGGGGGCTTCTGGGGCTTCGTGGGGGCCTGCTGGCGGTCTCAAGGCTCATCTTGTGGCGGAGTGCTCGATCTGTGTTCGAGTTCCCCCTCTTGGGGCCTTCTTGGGGCCGTCTTGGGGGCCTCTTGGGCCGTCTTGAGCCCCTATCTCAGAATCTTGAGGCGATCGTGGGGGCCTATGGGGCCGTCTTGGAGCGTCGCAGGCCCGAAAAGGCGAGAACGTGCAGATCATTGAGAAACCACCGGGGGAACACATCCTCACTCCTGGGCCTCCTGGGGGGCCCCTCGGAGCCCTCCCGGGGCGCCTCGAGGGCTCCTTTTTGGCCGCCCAGAGGCCGCCGAGGGCGTCTTTTGGAGAGCTCCGTGGGCCCTCTCCGCGGCCCTCTCGGGCCCCGTCTTGGGAGCCTCCCAGGGCCCTCCGGGCCCGTGCTGCCCCCAGAGGCGTCGCGGGGGGAGGGGGGTGGGGCCCGCGAGGGGGCCCGATCGAGGGGCTCCCGGCGGAACGCGCCCGAGAGCGCGCCGGGGCTCGGGGCCCGTGGGCCCCTCGGAGGAGGGCGCCGCTGGTGCGTCCCGAGGCAGGAGGCGAGGAGTGTCGACGGCGTGGGAAGGTGAGGCGGGCCTGTCCCTCTACGGGAGGAGGATTCAAGAACAGCTTGAAATATCGCATGGGGGCGATTTTTCTATATTTTTGGGTATTTTTATGTCGGGCGTGTCCCCCTACAAGGGGATTTTCGACGAAAAATGAAAAATACCCCCAAAATAGTCAAACCATAGTCCACAAATAATCTGGGGACTATTTTTCGAATATTTGTTTGACCTTTTTGGGGTATTTTTTTTTTGTTTTCTGTTGAAAATCCCCCTGTAGGGTTATGATGGTCGTGTTCGCTAGACTCTTGAAGAATCGGAAATTTAAAAAAGGCTGTTTCAGAGCGTTTTCAAGGGTTTCTGAGGCTTGTTTTTGCAGGCTCAAAAAAAGCTGTTTCAAAGTTCGCTGATTTTCCGAAAAAGCCGTGTGTTGGAATTGTAAAAGGAGATTTGTTTCCCTGGGTCCAGTTCGCATGCCTTTTTCGCATTTCCATTCTTCTTTCGTCTTCTTTCGTCTTCTTTGATTTCGTCCGTCCTCACCGCTTTTGGCTCTCTCATGTGTTTTGTTCTCCGATGTTCTCACTGCGTTAATCGGCATAGGCCTCTGTCTCTTCGCGTCTTCGGCCCAGTAACTATCAGTATTCCCTTGCCTTGTTGTGCCTTCAACTACCACGTCTCCGACATCAGCCTTGCTTCTCTTCTCCCTCGAACAACCACTCTCTCCGCCAACCGCGCTTGGCACGACCTCCCGTGCTGGGTGTTGGGCCCCACCCCGCTCTTCAACATGCAGCAAGGAGTGAGTGCGCCAGGATATATGGCGGATGGCCGTGTGTGCAAGGTGTTGTGCGCGGGCGCCACCCATGTGGATGTGCCCATGTGGCGCGGGCGGTATGCCATATGCGTCGGAATGTGACAATGGGTCGGGTTCGCGTTACCGCACCAACCTTTAAACTTAAACCTGACACGCAATGTGAACGCTTGAGCGTCAAAACTGGTGGGCACGCACGCACTATTTTGCGTGTGTATATGGCGCGTGGAAGAAGATGCGTTCCCTAACCAGCGCACGAACGCACCCATGAACCCCCACGCGCACGCACACGCACACTTGAACCCCCACACGCGACACCGCAACCGTTTGTACACGACCGCGCGCACCGATGCAACCGCGTATCCAACCCGACACGCACGCACAAACGCAGGTGTTTAATTCAGCGGCGGAGTGGCCACTCGGGCGCGGGGAGCGGATGGGGGCGCGACGTCCATCACATATTGTTGATGGGCGAATGCAGCAGCGCGTCTAGAGCTAAGCAAAACATGCACTCACCTACCCAGACACGCACTCAAGACACCCGCGCAAGGCCCACACGTGGGCCTAGTGTTTTGCACAGCGGTCGAGCACGCGTGGCCCGCGCCCCAGGCACGGTGAGGGGGGGGGAAAAGGCAGCGTGATCGTGCCCTGGTCGCGTCCGCCGCCTTGGCCGCCTCCTCCTTCTCCTTTAGCCGCCTCCTCCTGTCCTTGCCGCGGCGCCCTGAGTTCCTCGTTAACCCTTTTGTGTGGAATGGAACGCATAGTGGCGCACCCCGCCGCGCGCTGGTTTCGCAGCGCTTTATGCGGATCGCCACCCATCACAAAAACAAAAAGCACCCGCGCCATCCATCCACCCGCGCGCCCACCCTGCAACCCTCTCGGCGGCGGCCGCCATCAGTATATTCTACTCGCCCAGCGCCACGTTGTCTACATGTTACCCACAACGTGTCCTGGCGCTCGCGCGCCTGGCCATGTACGCGGTGAGCGACATTGGGCCCCAGCTGATTGATTTCCGTTTGCGGGCCTCCTTTCCCTCCCTGGTGTTCTTTACCCTCTCCCCTTTTTCTCCCCTTTCGCATCCTCTCTCCCCTCTCCCCATTTTCCTTTCAATCCTTCGAGGCCCAGCCCACGGCGCCGCGTCCCATAGCGACGTCGACCGAACGCAGCACTGGGTAAGTTCCCGCCGTGCCCGCAAGCCAATATCGGCACACCCCTCACGACTGTTGGTGCACGCAAGGGGCTCACCGATACCCTATAAACAAGATTGCGCCTTCCGACCACTTCAAAAAACTCGACCTGACTTTCGACAGGGAGCAATCTGAATCAGAGGAGGGGGGGCGGAAGACGAACATCAGCGCCAGGCGGCGCAGGGGGAACGAGGGGGGGAAGAAGGCAGAGAAGGGGAGAAGAGGAAGAGGAGAGAGGGCGGGGGGGGTGGATGGCAAGGGAGGGGGGAGGAACATCCAACGCAGGCTTGCTTGAGCCTGGGGGCCGCCCGCGCACCAAATCCCAGCGGCCCCCGCTGAAGAAACCGCTTGCCCTTGCGCGCCCGTGGTTTGCGAGGGAACGATTGAGGATATGGTGCCCTCTTTGTCGAAATACATTGTTTGTGTTTCTCCAGCTGTCTTTTGCCCCCCCCCCTCCCCCCCCCCCCGCGGCTCTCTGGCGCCGCCCGCGGTAAAGCAGCGGGCGAATGCGACGAAACTGTCCAGGGTACTCGTTGGATCCATCCTCCGCCGCGGCAGCAACGCTCCCCTTCCGCGCGAGTGGGGCGCTTGTTGCGGCAGAGGAAGGCAGGGACAATCAAGGGTGCGTTGGATAAGTTCATCGCGCATTCTCCTGTTGTTCCCTGCCCGCCTTGGCGCCTGTGGGGCGCCTTTTGGAGGCCTCTGAGGTCTCTTGAGGCCTGTTGGGGGGCTCTTGGGGGCCTCGCGGGGGCTTCTGATGGGGTCCGCTGGTGGTTCGCTGTGCCGTTAGGGGCCTCGTGGGGTGCCCCTTGGGGGCGGACTCTGGGGCCCTCATGGGCCTCGTGGGAGGCCGCGGCAGGGGGGGGGAAGAGGACCGCCAGGAGGCGGAACAAACCAGAGGAAGAGAGCTCCGACGGCAACGGGGGCCAGGCGCAGGAAGAGGGGGGGGGAGGAGGAGCAGGACAAGGCAACGCCAGAGTGGGACGAGGATGTCCCCTGATTGCTCCGCTGCGCACCTCACGAGGATCGTGGCCCCACAGTGAGCCCCATTGCCTTCGCGAAGAACGAAATCGGCCCTCTACCCCCCTCCACCCCGCGCGCCTCCTTGGCGCTTCCTCGGAAGGGCAGTAGCTGCGCAGGGGTTGCACCGACTGCGTTTGTGGCAACGTTCGAAAGGCACCCCGCTGCGCATGTCGACACCTGCCTCACACGCACTGTTGCCCTGCAGGGAGCTCCCCCGAGACCTCGTGGCGAACTTCTCGCGGCGTGCCCCATCGCGCGTCGGCGCGCCCCTCACAGTGTTGGCGGCCCCACAGGGAGGTCCACTGACAACGTCGGTAGCAATGCTCGCATGTCACCTGCCTTTTTTTCGAGCCCGCGTCGGCGCGCCCCTCGCGTGGGGGTAGGCGCCGCAACGGGGTCCGCAGACGGCCCAAGAATGGCCAGAGCCAACGCCGTCGTGTTTACACGTGGTTGCCGTGTCCGTCCGCAGTTGGATCGTCTTGATGTTGGGTCGCGCCCGTCGCCAGGCTATGTTTGCATTGCCGCGCGAGGAAGCGGCAGTGTAGGTAGGCAGCGATGTTCTGAGTTTGGGATCGTTATTGGTTGAATGTTTCAGTCGCAGCTGCGACGTATCACGGGGCCATGTTGTTATCAACGGTCACGCCGTCACTTCGGTAGCCATTTGTTTCAAGCCCGCGTGTTTGGAGCTGTCTTTGCCTGCGGGCCGTTCGCCACCATGCCTCGCGGTAAAAGTGGTGACCAGTTGAAAGCGATGCAGGACGCTGCCCGAGAGTCCAAGCGGCGGCGCCGCGAGCAGCATGCCATCGGGGAACAATTGCGCCCGCAAGTTGGCCCTGTTGCAGTGGGCGCTCAATTGTTGTCGGGCCAGCTTGCGGCCAGGTCGCCCAACACGCTGCATCCGATCGTTGATATCGTTGGGCAGGCCGTGGCGAACGCCATGGCAGTCAGAGCAT